CTTATCTAAATTCCAAATAGATTTACTAGCAAAAATTTAATCTTGGATACATGTATTGAAAAAGAGAGCTTCCAAATAAGGAAGATAAACACCATAGAATTCAGACTGTTACATTTCTGCAGTTCTGCTATCGTGATATTGTGTCATATTGTGGAATAATGGAGACAAGTGGCTCCCTGGAAGTCACACAAACACCATTCCTATGTGTGCAATAGACTTTTATGTACATTTTCCAGCAAATCCTGCAAAGCACTAGCGTCGTCGTTTAAAATATTCATCGTCTTCTTGCCAGGTTTCTCTCATAGGACGTCTGTGGTGCGCTGAGGAACAGAGAGAATGAGACGCAGCTCATCACACACTAGACTTTTATACAGCGCAGCCACCCATTTATAACTGCCATAGACTTGCGGGCTCCCCTGTATGCCTGTGGTGTCCCAATATCAAGTCCTTGGTGATGTTTCTAGACTGGCTAGACTGGTGGTGGAGACATATGGGTCTGATTAGACGATCATTTAACCTCTCTCTGTCACCATGCCCAGAAGTCAGGAGACTGATTGAATTTGCAGAGGGCCTAAGTTGGTACAAAATGTTTATAATACAGTCTAGCAATTATTTCTCCGCTCCTTGCCAATTCTGGTAGACATGAAGCGTGGGTGTATGAGCATGTGTGGTTTGTTTATACCCAGCTCCTTTGCACAGTTCATTATCACTGTGGCTGTCATCTGTGGCACTGTTACAAAAGCTTTAATTGATTAACTTTGAGGGGAAAATGCCTCATTTTCTTTGGTGCAGCTGTGAAGTTTAATAACGACAGAGAGAAATGAGCTCAGTTGGAGGCCGAGAGGGACAAGTAATACAGCTGTGCAGATATCAGCGAGGATTAAAATTTAAGGATTAATGCAACAGCACAGAGGCAGGTTCTCATTTCACTTATCATCGCCCTGAAGTCAAGTCAAGACAAGTCAGTTTTATTTATATAGCACATCTAATTTCACGGGAGCCAAAGGGCTTTACAATGCTGCTAAATGAAGCTAACACAAGTATTAGATAAAAGACAAGATATACAATTTTTTAAATATTGTATTATTGTAAAAGACATTAGATAAGTGACCACATAGGTTAAGTAAAAAAATGGCAGGCATCCACAGAATCAGAAGAAAGACACAATGAGTAAATCAATGTGAATTTTTTTATTAGATTTTTAATTATCCATAGTTGGACTGGCTAGATGATGCAGAGAGGGAGACTGTTCCAGAGTTTTCGGTGCAGCAGCAGAGAAAGCCTGATCTCCTCTAGTTACCTTTAAGTTGCAACAAACCTAAAATGTAGCAGTGAATAACCTTATTTGCTGACACTGTAGTGAATGTTTTACCCCCCTCTCTTTCTTTCCCCCCCAACTGAGATATCCAAAGGTTTTCAGAGCTAAAAGTCCAGACATAGCCACAACAGATTTTTAAAATACCTGAAAACCAGCTCCAGATGTTGAGTAATCAGTACAATCATTAATCACAGACTGAAAAAATCTACGCTGCAAAGGATGGGGAGAGAATCTGCATGTGTAGCCTGAAGACTCTTGCGAAGACTACAGTAGGCTATGGAATAACAGTGAGGCTACAGCTCCCTCAGTAGTATCACAAATCTTAATTACTATCAATCTATATGACATCTCCCTACTAATTCCACAAATGCCTGTCTTTCTGTCTTCATGTGGAACATATATGAACATATATGTTCATCTTATTGACCTCGCACTTGGCATGTGTATTCTTACACGCGATATGTTTAATATTAATATAAAATGCATATACAGATGACCAGCACTGTGTAGCAGTCAGTGGGGACAGGACAGTGTGGTTTCAGTCTGTGGACAGAGTTGATCAAGACCTCTAAAATAGCCAACATAATTCAAACCTATATAAAAGCCACAGTTGAAAATTCAGTTTAATTTTATGAAAAACATTGACTATCAAATCTTTACTGCAGATAAACCAGGTAGAATGAACACAAAGTTTTCTAACGTCTCTCTGCACCAAAGACTGTTTATTAAAAGCTCTGCACACAACGTCCAGCACACAAACAATAAAAAGTAACAGTATATTGTAGAACTGTTTGAAGAGGACTCACAAAGCGCCAGAACATTGTGACAGGACAAGTAAATAGTTCATTCCAAACAGGCAGCTTTAGAGCAAGAGCTAAACTAGTTCATAGTATTACTCTTTAGCAATTTATCTTCAAAGTAAAAGCACAACATTTGTTTTGTTGCTGTAATGGAGCTGAATTATAGAGCTTTATTTTGAAAAGTAGTGAATTTGGCTTTGGAGATGTTGCCTGCAACACACCTGAAAAACATTAATCAATCATTCAAACTTATACACAAGAACAGTACTGCTTCATTTAATGAAACACAGCTTTACAAATCTTCTCTGCAGATCAACCAGGTAGGATAAACACAAAAATGTTGTAACTTCATTATGCACCATAGACTGTTTATCAAAAGCTCTGCGCACACCACAGAGGAGGAATCACTAATGACAAGGACTCATTGTCAAGAAGTTTCAGAGCATGAACACAGACCAAGCAAACAGACCTGTTTAGAATGAGCACTAAAGTATATGGATACTTTAGTGCCCATACTTCTGTAGATGCATTCTTGTTAGAATATATTAAAATATTACACTACAATCTCCCTTCTAATATTCAATCCCAGTAGATACGCATGTACAAACATCTTTTTTATATTGTAATAATCTGTAAATGATGTCACGGTTAATGTTTCCTTGCTTCAGGGAAGGAAACAGCAGGTTTGATTAGTCGCTGTGTGCATGTGGCCCCGTGCAGCCCGCCCCTCACCGTGCCATCATTAGACGCTCATTCCTCCAGTCACGCTGCAACTGCGCCTCTCTGCTCCATCACATCACATCCACCTCTCGCACTGTGCAGTCTGTGTTTCCTGAAACAGCGCTGCCGCCGAACCTCACATCATCCTGCTGAGAAAACACATCAGGCACACCAGGAAGCTGAAAGCGCTGGGATCTGCTTCACTTCACTTCACAGCAGCATAGAGCAGAATCTCTCCTCATTCAATGGGTCCGCGTATTGTGCTGCTCTGCTCCATGTTTGGACTCCTGCTTGGCCAAGGTAAGTTACCTTTGTGCAAGATAGATCACTACTACATGACTTTTACTCATACTACGCTGAACCAAGCCGAACAATGGCGCTGTTGGAAGATACTGAGTATGTGTGGTATGTTAAAAAAAGGGTGTTTACAGTGAGAATCAAAGTGATACCAGACAAAGAGTAAGAGGTGATGGATTTGTCACAGGGCTAGTTGGGACATGTGATGAAAGCACACTTTAAAGTTGGCTGCATCAAAGTGTTGCAGGTCTGGACTGAAATGAAGTCTGGTTTCCTGTGATTTCATTAAATATGTTTCAAATCACTTCCAGTGTTTTCCCTTGTAGGTTACAGTGAGTGTAGCCCATAGCAGCTACAAACTTATATGTAACATGAAAATATAATAACAACCAGCATCCAAATCAGAACTGGCTTTATTGAGTAGGTACACACATACTGGGGATTTGACTCCTGTTTTATATTACTCTCAGTGTACTTACATAGAAATACACATACACATACAACAACAAAAGAAACAGAAGAAATAAGTTAAAGAATGATGAAAAAAACCTGTCATGTAAAGTGGTTGATGGTCCAGACAATAGCATGTAAAAAGAAAAGTATGTGAATATGCAGCATATGGAAACAATTGAAAAGTAAACCATCATCTACTCTCTTTTTCATTCATTACATTGATGCAGGAGCCGAAAATTAAACTTGACTCACAAAGTGATGAAAGAAAAGATGTCACATCAAATGGAGGAGTGTTAAAAATGCAGATTCACATAAGTCTCAAGTGAGAGTTCTCACCGCCCTGGTTTCTGTACTTCCTGCCCTGCAGGCCAAAGGCCAAGTACCTTGGTATGCTGTGATGCAGTGTCAGAACAACCGCCGTCTCACCAGGACACGGTGGTCTAGACAGACAGGTGTGATTTATACTTGAGTGCCCACAGCAGGGTCACCAAGGCGTATAAGATGAGGCATATCCAAAATGCTCATGGTCCCCCTGGTCACACATGGGGCAGTTTTCACAGTCAGTGGGGCCACCTTTTTCCAAGCTGCCTTCATTGTGGGGGGGCGGGTGTGCGTCAAAGGTCAGTTTGAAGTAAACTTCAGTCTGCTGTCAGCTTGACCAGTTACATAACCAGAGCCCTGAGAGATACTTGTGTATGTATATCATATAAAGACCTGATCTAGATAGATAGATAGATAGATACCTCCTTTGTAAAACAGCCTTTTTATGTCGCTGAAAAACCTCCGAATAAAAGCCTTGAGTGCAGCCTATGAGAGATGCACTTCTGTAGTGACGACTGGCCAACTCCTCTATATGGGTGGAGCTTCACCACTGGGCTCATTAAGCCTTGTTTACATGAGGCGTCTAGACGCAGGCAGGCAATGTGCTGCTCTGCCAAGACAGAATGTCCCTTCACAAACCAGCACCGCCATCCAAGATGGAAATCAGCCGTCTCCAGACAGACAATGCATCAGCAGAGACAGAGAACTGTGGCAAGCTGCATCTAGACTGCAGAAGCAGCTGCGCCTGGTTTGCCTCTTTTGATAAAACAGCACCATGCAGCTTAGAAGCACTTCTGGTCTTTGAATTTAGGTTTGCAAAGCAGCAGACAGTGGTGGCGTTGGAATGACCCTGCAATGCTTAGTTGTTTAGAGTCAGTTATCAGCAGAGACCTACTATGGGGAGAAATCCCCAAAACACATCGCAGGGAGCAGTTTAACGTGCATGACAAACTGTTCCTGTCATTTAAAATATGTTAGTGTGCCCCAGCAGAGAAATTCTCCAGAATTAGTTATTTTGTGGAATCTGGCAAGTGGCTCCCTGGATGCTTTTCCAGTTTTAATACAAAAAGGGTGTTTTTGCAAAATGGTACCAGTTGCTGATAATGGTAAAAAAAATAACAACAAAAGAATAAAGTTGTGAGAACTACTCTGAGAGTATATGACATTTAACACCTTTAATGGCAGGTACTGCAAGTTATATTATTTGCTTTATGCAAACAAAATACTTTGTGATAGTCTCTTTGGTGTTACCTTACAGGTTTTTAACATTCACAGACAGAGAGAGGGAGACTCGGAGATGGCCTACTTGGTAAACCCATGTGAAAAGCTTTTAAAATGTCATCTCATTTCATCCAGCTGTTATACAAGGTTTATTGGCCAGAGGATTCTGGGATGTGCCAGACTTCCAGAAGTCAGTAGTGAGTCAGCTAATGTGGCTGCCGAGTAATAAATCCTCTGTCCGCACTCAATCCGTTCTGCCAGGTTAATCATCCTTTGTGTAGTAGCTTTGATTTCCAGTAGCCTAACTCACTTTCATAAGAGAGAAACCCACCTATTAATTTTAATAAATACATAGTTGTTGTTATATTGCACCCACACTTCAGGGCTGCACACCTGGGTGTACAGAAAGCTGAAAACTACTATGAGAAACAGGGTTTTATTACACTGCTAACTCTGTGTTGAGCATAAAGCTGTTTGTGATGACTATTCCTGATTCTTCTTCACTTTGAATTAAATGGCCAAAATACAATTCCTACCTGCCCCTATGGGACAATAAGCAAGTCTGTAAAGCTGCGGACTGCTCTCCCAGACACTTGTCCTCCCTACCTAATCTAACTGTCTCAAGTCCATGACGCCAGACGTGTCACAACAGATGCTGCGTCTCAACCAGATGGATTTATTCAGAGCATTTCACAATCACTTTCCTAATAATTCAAAACATTCAGTCAGAAACCAGCAGCATCTCATATTCTATTACAGTGGATCAACAAAATTTATTTCACAGCGGGTTTGTTTTCTCTTTTTTTCTTCTCTCGGAGGACTTATTGTTAATAAAAATTTGGCAAACTTCTGCTGGGTTTAGCCGAAGGTAAGAAAAATAGTTAAGCATCTGATTTGCCAAAGCTATTTCACGTTTGGCAGATTACACAAACCACAGGCAAATGAACGCACTTGATGTGATTGTGTCAGCTGATTGTTTACAGAGTTGAGTAATTCCACGCACTCTAATCCACATGAATAAACAGCCAGATCACCACAGAGTTGGTTTGGCCCCAGTTTAAAAAAAAAAATCCTCATTTGCGTGTGCAACAACATATCCATCACTGTCCTTGGCACAAGAAAGGTCTTTTGGCAGTTAAAATTGCCAAACAGATTCATCTTTCAGAAAACAAAATGTAACTTGCCTTTTAGGACTCTTTTGTTTGGGATAGATATCCAAATACCGTCATTGTTATGTACTTAATTACTGAAATTCAGTGTGTCAATCAGTAGGATTTATTTTTGCCAAAAGAAATGTGTGAGGTAAAGACATTAGGCAATGCTTATGACTTTGCCATTTGATATACTTATCTAGTCATGGGCAGTTTAAAGGGTATGAAACCATACTCACCCCCCTCATGTGTCCAGGCAGGTGTGCCTGCATGTCTCCTGCAGTCTTTATAGGCGTCCCATCACCTTGACAAATGAGATATGAAAATGTCCCAAAGTAAATGTGTTCTTTTTAATCTCTGCAGGAGCAGAGCAGATCTCGATAGAGGATTGCTGTAAGGATGGACAGAAGCGAGGCAATGATAACGAAGACTGTGCATCCCTCCCTCTCATCTCTGCTTCAAACACATGCAGGTAAGCGGGTGCTGTGTCCCAATTCTGGATCTGCCTCCTCCATGTAGGACTCAGTCTACATGGCTCACAAAGGAGCAGGTCTTTGTTGACTGTGAAGGCTGGACCAAAATGAGACTGGTTTGTTCTGCAGAGGCTGGGATTGGTGTCACCAGCTCGTTTTGCCCTTTGTGCTGTTGCATGTGTACTATTAGCTGTTTGGTTGAGTCAAAGTGTGATACTCAAGCATCGGACATCTTTTCAATTACCTCTTTTGAAAAATGGTTTGTCAAACGAATCCTTGGATAATTTGGGCCAGAAATGATCCACCTGTGTGAGCCTTTGTTCCTCAAGGATGAAAAGACACATTAGTTGCCTGCATTTGTAAGGAGCCGTCTAAATGGAACAGCCTCTTTGCACCGCTGTGACACAATCGGTCTTCAAATGCAGATTGAAGGATGCAGCCCCTTAATTGAGACACAGCTTATGTGCTACTTTGCTTTCTCTGATCAGAAATCTGTACATCACAAGGCTGAGGGCGCTTTAGTAGAAGACTTTCCTGGGACTTAGTTCAGATTTATAAGTCATTAACTGCTTCACTCTGTCCCAATCTTACATTTTCTATCTGCACCACAGAAGCTCCTGCAATATTGTCCCAAAACGATTTGGTCTGTTGCATGGTTGATAAAGTCTGTTGGCTCTTAATACCAGATTGTTTTACCTCACTCCCGTAAATCTCCAGGCACATTATTCACTTCGCGTTAGAGCGGGAAACACTAATAGTGATGGGATAATAACAGGCCTGCTGGTAACCCTAGAAGGTGTGCTGCCACAGGTTCAGGGCCCATAATCCAGAGGGGTCTGCTGCTGTGAACGCTGATGGCAAACACATTTACCTTAGCCACCCTTAGTGATCCCAAATTTGTCTAAATTATAGTTAGAGGGGGAGCAGAGGAAAAGGGCAGAGGTTTGTGGGGGGAGCAGGGTGAATTTGGGGAGTGGAAAAGGTTGAGGAGGGGATGGGGGGTCAAAAGAGGGGTTGTTTCAAAACCCAGGAAATACCTCAGAGGTGAAACATGACAGAGAGAGGATGGAGAGAGGCAATAACAGGAAATCGGAATGACTTCTTCAGACACCAAAGGGGGGAAAAGAAATTACGCAAGAAAAGAGAGAAGAGAAAAAGAAAAACAGGAGCGTGTCTGTGCCCTTAAAAGGTTCGGCAGAGGAGGTGTGTGCCTTGACTGAATTTGAGGTCCACAGCGGTTTATGTGGGAAGAGATTTCTGGTAAGAGTTGATAAAGAGACTTGTTGGAAATGAGAGAGGAGATGTGAGGGGGTGGGATTCTTTTAATGCTCCCAGTAAAGTTTCAGTGAGACAGATTCAAGCCAGAAAGAAAGAAACACCCACACTCCTAACTGATGGGCCCGCACCGACATTTGCTCAATGGATAACATGATGGAGTCTGATGTCACCAAAATACAAATGAACTGATGTTTTTGACAACACTGCTTTCATGTAAAAGGACGGAGTCTCTTACAGATCATTGATTTGACATGTAGTATTCATTGATCGCTATAGAGATATACAGTTTGGATCTCTTTGCAGTGAGCTCAGACGTCAAGGATTAGTGAATGACCAACTGCTCTCCACTCTGACAGGACAGGTTGTCCTAAGGATGGATGAATAGGATTGTAGGAAGGCAGGCAGGTTATTAGGTCGATGCACTTTATTGATCCCAAAATGGGAAATCCCTGTTTTACAACAGCAAGGTATCATGTACATAAAACACTATACAAAATATTAAAATCTAACAAATATGCAAGATTGCAAGGGAGTGTTTCTGTTTTGTAATACCATTAAGGGAATACTGCCCAAAGTCCCACCATGAGTAAGAAATGGTGGAGGTGGACAGATGTTAATCCTGGAAATGTTAGTTTAACTCTGGTGAAACAACGCAACAAAGGCCTCGGGGAGAGCTGCCCAACCCAGATTAATCCCAGTGATGTCAGTGTTGCAAAACAAAAATAAAATTCCACTGAATCCGCACGGGACTTTCACATCCCTCTTATCCATGAAGAGGTTTTTACTATGACAACTTTGAGATTCCCCATCAGGCTCCCCCAGGCTCATTTTAATGGGCTGCACTGAAAGGCACTGTTGTGTTTCACTGCATGAGGAGTGGAAGTCAAACTGAAATGAATGATAAAAAAACAGAGCAGTAAAGATGGCTATGAAATTGATTGACTGATTCATACTTTATTGTCAATTGTTATTGTCAATAATTAAGACACATACATTTTACATCAAATTACATCCACAAAATACTGAATCTTCCACTTGGGATCTGGGATTAAGTTCCATTTTAATTTGAAGATCGACTGGTGCATAAAACAGTGCTTTGATTCATATTCACTGCACAAAACATTGTAGTCAGAAAAAATGTGATAAAATGTGATTGTGGCAGGCTGAGTCATGTAGTTTCTCAAGGGTTTGGCATGCGCAGTGTTTGTGCAGATTTTCATTTGGTGGAGTAGTTTTGACTTTCAAGTTGTGGTGAATCACTTACAAATAAAAAGTGTTTTCAACAATGAAGTGATTTGATTTATTTAAAGCTGGGTTGATTCAAACAGTTAACCTGGCATTATCTGATTAGTTCTCATTTGAGCCCAGTGCAAGATAAGGTCAAAAACGCTGACTCTCTGGAAAGTGAAGCCAATGCGGAAGAGCCTGAAATATGTATTCTCTTGAATGCCCAGCAGAGGTCGACACTACTGGTTGTAAAATGATGTCAGTTCTATAGAAGTCTATGAAAAAATCATCCTATTTCTCAGTCGAAGGAGTTTGTGGTCTGAGTTGCTAGTTTCAAGTCTTCTTCAACGCAACATGATGTTTATTTTGGAAATTATGATTCCATTTTGAGTAAATTTGACGATAAAGCACAGTCTAATTGAGGCATGAATACCGTGTGATTTACAGGTAGTAGTGTTCAATGGGTGCAGGTCGTATGTGAGTGTGTACACAAGCTTTAGGTCAGTCCCGCCCCCTGCTGCTCTACCTGTAATCACTTCTGGATTAAAAAATAACAAGATGGCTCTGGTCAAAACACCAAATTTCAATTTATCACTCTACTTTTCAATCTACATACACAACTTCTATTGTTATTTCATAAACATTTTTCATCACTTCCAGTTATTAATTGTCACTCCCACCTGTGGGGGCCACGTTTCTTAAATGATAAATACCTTTTTTGAGTTGTGAATGAAGAATGTAAGACTGAGGAAACAAGGCTCTGTCATGATAATACAACTGTCGTCACCATATTGTTTTAAATGGATTAAATAACATCATAATTTATCACTCAAGTTTTCATTTGACATCTATTTTACTGCTTCATTTGTCTTTTCACACACATTTTTGTTATTATTTGTGTTTTTTCATACTGAATTGACGGAGATTGAGAATAAATGCACCATCTGTGTTTTGTGTTACTTTCTTCTTGCTGACAGGATAGTGCAGGAGCAGTGCTGTGTGGCAGTGCTCGAGGACAACATGTGCACCACTGGTATCAATGTGGCCAAAGACCAAGGAACCTGTGACTCTTTATTCAGCAGCACCTGCGAGACCAAGACGACAAAGGTCTGTTTGTACCTTGATGTGCATGTCCAAATGCAAAGGTCTGTTGTGTGTGTCTTTCTAACATTAAACACTGTAAACAGAGTAAGATGGAATAAAAATGCTGTGTGGAGCAAAAAACCCTCCTCCACTCAATCAATGCACACTCCTCTGCTGGACAGCTAGACTGGAGGCAAATGATTGATGAGAGTGATGATCTAAATGTGTTTGTGTGTGCACGTATGTGTGTGTCTGTGTGTGCGTGTGTGCCAGGAGCAGGATGAGGCATGTCACTCCACGGCAGAATGGAGCTTGTTGCTGTCTTATATATTCACACTCTTAAATCTTCCCCAGGCACACAAAGCACTTTTTTGGCCTTTCTCTGCTTTTATCCCTTTTTCAAATACTCCCCTCTGTGTGCCTCTTTATTTTCACAACACACAGCACATCAACACATCTTGGAGATTAATGTGGAGAGGCGATGAGGCAAGTGGGTGCGTTTTCTTGACAGGATGAGGTAATTGTCAGCAGGGGCAGCTTGTCTTCACTTGATCGTCTGTAAAGTGCAGATAATGGCTCATGAACGAGCTTAGGTAAGGAGAGTATAACAAAAGGTTTATAGATAAGAAGGAGACAGTTCCCACAACGTATTGTATAATTATAATTAAACATTTCAGGGAATTTACCTAGTTTGCTCCCATGTCAAGAGTTAAATTAGTTAAAGTTGAAAGAAGGTTGATGCAGCTCACCTTTCTGTGCGATACCTATGGAACTGAAGATGGTTAGCTTAGCTTAGTTTAGCTGAGGCTTTAGACTGGAAGCAGAGAGAATCAGCAAGTCTGTTCAGAACTTAAAAAATGGGTAAAAGTGGCCAAAATACAACTTGTTTTTACTGGACATGGATTTTAAAAAAGACATCACAATGCAAGCCAACAAATATTCAGACACCTAACCTTAATACCTTCAATGTCTCATTATGGGATGTCAGAAGTATTGGTTAGAGTACCGATGAAGCTCCCTTTACTGTGGACTTTGGGCTTTTAAACTTTTTACATACACAGAAAACTTATATATCACACTAGAGAAAAGAAAAGAGAAAGATTAAAAAAGCAAAAACATTTAAAACAACAACCTGTGCACAAACAAGAGTAACACTGAGCCTTACATATGCTAGTGAGCAGATTTAGTCACTCTTGCTTCCTTTCTATATGCTATGCTAGTTGTATCCAGGTTTGTGCTTGGTATGTAGGATTTAACAGAGATTGCGTGGTTGCAATCTGTTAACTCTCATTAAAAACATGCATAAACCTATAAACCTAGTATTGACCTATTCAATGGTTATTTAATGGTTTTCAAGTTTGGTGAATCTGTGCGCAAGATTTTTGGCCACTTGGGGGCAGTGTAAACACTTAACATCACCTTTATGTTGGTATGGTCACCTTGTTAGCAAACATTTCCCTATTTACACAGGAGTGAGGCTGGGGAACCAAACCATTGACCTGATAGATGCAAAAACTCTGTAGAAGGGGAATCAGCAGAGTCGGGTGGTTCCTCCCTAAAGTCAACACCTTTGAGTTGCATTATGAAAATATTCATTATAGATTTTAAATTCTAGGGTTTTTTGCACACCATTAGATGTATTTTATGGATTACATCTAGTACTCTAAACTTGACAAGTCCTGATTCAGTAAACTATGCTAATCTGGGGACTCAATCTTTTTGTGGCATGTGTTCAGTCTTGCAATCACTGCATTTACAACACACTCACACCACAGACTGTCAGATTTCACTTAATAAACTCTCATTGCCCAAAGTGAAACAACACTCAACACCCATTCTCCACACTCTGCACTGCACACACCCCCCTCTCTTTCCTGACATTATAAATATATGTAATGATTGACTGAGCTTCTCTCAGCCAGAGGGGACGACCATCATCTCATTACTGTTTGCCTGTCCGTCTTTGTTAGTGACTTTCTGCCGATCTCGCCTGTTGGTCTGTCCGTCCACCTGTCCACCTGCCTAGAGCCTGTCAGGTGTCTTATCAGTCAGCTTGAGTCCGCATTCATTAATCTAAAAGTCTACCCGTTTACCTACAGTATTTGACCAAAATCTCATCCTACAACATTTTTTTCCCATTCTACATTTTTGCTTTCACTTCGTCTCCTGCTACATCATCTTGGATTAAATGTTTTATTTCTGTTCTTGTAAATTACCTATCTGTGCTCCCATGCCGTCTAAAACAGCATGGATTATAACAGTTTCTCTTTTCTGTAGATGTGCTGTGGCTGTTGTCTTCTGGGGAAGACGACCCAGGAGCAGGGCCTACTGTGTGATTCCAGCCTGTCTGTGGGCTACCAGTGCAGCCTGGTGTCTCGGGCCTGCTGCAATGAGGGAACCCCAGATAACCAGACAACACCAACAGCACAAACAAAGTGTGGGTGAAAAATCATACATCGTACAGTAGACAACTTTTTGTTTGAATGAAGCAGATTATGTGGCCTTGATATAAAAACAGAATCCAGTAAGAGAAGGTCTGTGCATCACCACATTCACTTTCTCAAAATATTGGAGGATGTATGAGATGGAGAAATCAGAGCGCCACTTGACTTGTCAGACAAAAGCCCACACTGTCCCCTGGTGGCTGTATATGGTCATTGGAGATCCATGTACTTCTGTAATACTTTGAGAGCCGTCATTGGGCGAGAGGCGAGGTAAACCCTGTAAAGGTCGTCAGAGCATCCAAGGACGAACGCACCAGTCACACACAGACTCACACCCATGGAAAATTCAGAGTCTCCTATTCACCTATAATCCCTAGAACACATACATCTGCATGTGTTTGGACTGTGATTGATTTTAGGCAGGATTTCAATTTGATGCTGTTCAATTTATTAATTAGCATCTCAACAGGAACATTTGGCTCCGTGACTACGTTTTACATTATAAGCAAGTCATTTATTGTCCATTCAAAAAAAAGTCCTGATTATTAATTTTGAAAATTGGCATTATTTGCAACTTTTGGATGTATAAAGTTATGATTTCGAGCTCTATTGATAAAAAGGTGTTAAGATGTGAACGTATGTATGACCATGCTTTATCTTTCTGTCACACAGCATCAAACAAGGATGCAACCACTGAAAATGGAGATAATTCAGTATTAACTGACCAGTGTGATGGTACAGTATAATAAACCAAAAGGCTATATAAGCTTTCACAATTACTCTAACTGGCTTAACCTTGAAAATACTGTAATCAGTTATGAGCCTGTTTGTGTTGCTTGTTCAGGGAAATGTGCTCATCTCTGTGTCGGTAACAACACCTGTGCCTGCTTGAAAGGCTACAAACTCAAACCAGATGGGAAGAGCTGTGAGGGTAAGACTCTTCTAATTTAGTTGAATATTTCAATAGCCAGACTGCTCCGAGGAGATTTTGATTTGCGTGATCAGGAAATTAGGTGGAGCACAGTTAACATTGTTTATAGACTATATTTGTAATATATCACGTACTCCTCTTCTCTCAGATATAAACGAGTGTCTTCTGGGAGCCAGTAACTGTCGGGGAGGACAGCGATGCATCAACACAGAGGGCTCATTCCGGTGCCAGAGAGAGGTCAGCTGTGGAACTGGCTACGAACTCACTGACAACAACAACTGCAAGGGTCAGTTTAATGTATTTATATACATCTAGCCTTCATTTAACTTGGTATAAGAGAGACCAAGCAAAGATAGCACTGACCATTTCAAGGTTACGCAATAAAAATTTAAAGCATAAATCAGACATTGACTCAGGAAAATGAAGAATGTTAAAAACACAGCAGTTTAGGAAAAGTATTTGCACACTTTAGAGACACTAATCATAGCTTCAGAGAAATTCATTAGATTCTGGAGGTTGTTTCATGAACAGGGTTTGAAAGTAGGAGAAAGATTCTCTAGTTTTGAATCAATCCTGTGACGTGGTGGAGAAGCAGAACATGGATAATATGCATGAGTTGTGTGTTTGCAGGTTTTTCTCATTGCTTGTTCAATAATAATTCTGCTCTGATGTCATCGTCCAGATATTGATGAGTGCGAGGCTGGTATCCATAACTGTGGCAAGGAGTTTGAGTGCCAAAACACCCAGGGGTCGTTCCGTTGTGTTCCCACGGTCAAGTGTGGGGTTGGCTACATCCAGGATGCCCTGGGCCACTGCATTGGTAAAAATCTGCACCATAACAAATCACAGTGTAGAGGTGTCCCATCTAGAGCTTTGGAGACATATCTGAATTTCATTATTATAACTAGACACTACCATTTAAATTCACTACATCCAAATTTCACACACTCATCAATTTCACAGATTGTTACCATCAACATCCATGAATTATTCTGCCAAATCTTTTATGGATTCTTTTTTGGGATACCCCTCCAAATTTTCATGGAAATAGGTTGAGTAGTTTTTGTGTAATTCTGCTAACAAACCACCAAAGCAGACGAAAACATAACTTCCATGACGGAGGTGATAATTCTTTGTGGAGTTTAACTTCTCATACATGACACTGGTCTATCAGAGCATCGCCTGTTCATAATTCAACATGATAAATAATAATAATATTATAAATAATCTGTGTTTTCAGATATCAATGAATGTGTTAGCCACACCGGTCCATGCCAAAGAGGACAGGTCTGTATCAACACAGGCGGCTCCTACATCTGCCAGAGGAACTCTGTGAACTGTGGTCGAGGGTACCACCTTAACGAAGAGGGCACACGCTGTGTTGGTACGACTTAGCAACTTGCCATCCCTAGATAGAAAGCATCATAGTTACCTTCCTGAGGTGCACATCATGCATGTATTCTCTGTTGCTTATTGTACGTTCCTGTCTGCAGACATAGATGAGTGTAAGGACCCTGAGAAGGTCTGTGTAGGTCATGGTTGTATCAACCTGGTGGGATCGTACCGCTGTGACTGTGAGAGTGGCTACATCTTCAACAGCATCAGCCGCACATGCGAGGGTAAGAAAGTAGTGATGTCTGATGGTTTTACATTTTGGAAGTAGCTCAATCCAAAGTACATTCTGCATGCAAGTGAAACATCCATCCATCCATCCGTACAACTTATCCCTCAAGGGTTGGGGGGCTGCAGCCAGTTGTAAGTCAAACACTGTTTACCAATTCTGTGTAACTGGTTAGAATCTGTATAACACATTTTCTTTATATTAGAGCACATTTTGACTTGTAAAGGCAGAAAAACCACAGGTGCAAATCAAAAGTATCACAGAAACAATATATACATTGCACACGTTGTATATGACCTCATCAGGCAGTAATAAAGTTTTTATATTATTACAATACATTTTATAATACCACCATGAAGTTATTAAAACTATATGACAACATATGATTGGTTAATCTAAATAAGCTGTATTTTATTGGTTACATTACTACACTTGAATTCATAACTCTAACTACCACAGCTGGTGATGACCTGGCCAAGAGCAAATGAAAGGCCAGGGTTTAGATACACTGCAGGGTTTATTGTAGATGGGAAGCAGGTGTGTGCTGAGGAGGAGGAGGTGGAGAGGCTTAACCAGGTAACGAGGCGGAAGGACTGGAGACTGATAAGCCATGAGCCACGCACACACACACACACACACACAAAGAACATAGAGACATACGACGAAGGACAGACAGAGAAACAGGGAAATGGTAAAATAAATTCCCAAATATTCAGATACTCCCACCAAGTTTGGTTTGTTGTACACAAAAACACACACACACACAAACAATGGCACCACTCCATTCAGTGCTAAATCAAACCATGTCACTATGTCAAAGCCAGAGCTCATCTAAATGGAACGCAGAACATTATTAACTCTACCTGTGCTTTTCCTGTTTCGACAAGTCTTAAATGTCTGCCAGGAAAATGGTCTTTTTTTACCATTTTATTAACTGACTGTGGGGTGTTTCCACTTTGTGTTTCAGATATTAATGAATGCAGGCACTACCCAGGCCGCCTGTGTGCTCACAAGTGTGAGAATAGTCTGGGGTCCTACAAGTGCAGCTGCACGACAGGGTTCAAGCTCGCCGCTGACGGCAGGAATTGTGACGGTAAGTCATACTCAAATATGGATGATTGCAACAGCTCACATACAGTGTGTGCTGTGTATCCTGTACATATACTGTCATTAACTGCAATACTAGGAGCCCTGATTCAATCCTTCGTTAGTCCTTTTGGCTGCAACAACAGTTCACATATCTTCATGCTTCCTGCAGTGGCAACAATGTCAGTGATACGAACACTTGCATCATGATCTTCACAGTCCACTGACCTTTATCATATGAAGACAGACACTCACTGTCTGTCTTTAGAAATGCTGTTTATTTATAAGTGTTAATGGACACAGTGTTCTACCAAATGTAGTAAATGAGATGGATGTGGGGGTCAGCATGTAGGTGGTGGATTCTTTGCCCCTGTTCACATTTTGTAGTTTCAAATAACATCCAATGGCTCCTGGAGTGTTGGCGAATAAAAGATACATAACAACCAAAACATCTTCCAAATGGATTCACCTGTCTGTGATGTGGTAATTGTGCATGATATTAAGTTCTTCACATTAAAATGAGTCTCCTGGAATTGTATGCATAGTACAAGGCTGTTTCTTTGCCCGCTTTGCAAATTAACCATGTGCAGGAGTGAACCCTGTGTGGTTACCTGTTAACCCACAAGAAAGTCTACTGTACTGTTTTTTCAACAAACACCTTTGAGGCCGTTACCCTTGGAACAACCCATCTTGTATCCTCCACCATCTGTTCAGTGCAAGCCCATTCTCAGGAACCAGCTCACATCCAGACTAAGTGTATAACTACATGCAACAGTTGACTCTGTACATATTCATAAGGACAGAAATAGTTCATATTGCTCTGTAACTTTTTCTCTAGATCTGAATGAATGTGAGAGCAACCCATGCAGTCAAGAATGTGCCAACGTGTATGGCTCGTACCAGTGTTACTGTCGCCGTGGATACCAGCTCAGTGACATCGATGGCGTAACTTGTGAAGGTAAAGTGGAAGCATTTTAACAGGCACCTAGTTGAATAACATTCTGGAAGTGGAGCAGGTTTTGAAGGGAAGGGGAAGGATGGGTGGAGAAATCACAAACAGCCTGATGGGTTGAACCTCAATTAACTAGTTAACTTCATTTAAGGATGTATTGTTTTCTCTGGTATAACTTGTATTTATATGTTTCTTGAACCTTTCTAGACATTGATGAGTGCGCTCTGCCCACTGGAGGTCATATCTGCTCCTATCGGTGTCACAACACACCCGGCAGCTTCCACTGTTCCTGTCCCGTCACTGGCTACACCCTGGCACTCAATGGACGCAGCTGTCAGGGTGAGCTGTCTTCAGTGTAACGCTAGATGTGATGGCTGCAGTCTGCCTGTCTCTCATGTTTATGAGTCTTTCCAAATAACATGTTGGTGTTTATCTCTCTCAGATATTGACGAATGCGCGGTGGGATCTCACACATGCGCGGAGAACCAGAGCTGCTTTAATGTGCAGGGAGGATTCAGATGCTTGTCCTTCGAGTGTCCAAACAACTACCGGCGCTCTGGAGAAACGTGAGTTAACTTGCATTTTGTCTCTGTTGCACAGGACACACATTCATTCAGTGAATGTACACAACTTTGAATTTATCGTTTGTCTGGGGAATTAATGTGCGTGATTTAAAGGAATAGAATTAATAAACACACTCACAGAGCAAGATCCATGTCTGTATGGTCACCATGGTAACAGCTCTGAGTATAGGGATAATTAAACCAATATCAGGCTGTTCACACATATGTTTGGGTCAAGGCTCTGCATGTCATGCTGGAATGAGTTCAGAAGAGAGTATTGGCTGTAGCATGATTTGTTGTTTTAGAATGATGCATATGGATATCTATCCATCCTCCATTTTGGCTCAGATTCAGTAGAGGCTGAGGATACCCAGCCTTGTTTGGAGGCACCAGTGATAGAGCGTCTTGCATGATCCCACAGAGGGCACCATGACTAGCCCGTAGGCTGCTGAGACTGATGTTCCCTCCACTGCATGCCATGCACGGCAAATGAAACTTACACCCGATCTCTCTTTCTCTCTTTCTCCCTGTGCCTGTTTTGTTGTGTCTCGTCCTGCCCCTGCCTCCCCCCCACCCCCTTTTCTTTTTGCAGTCGATGTGAACGCTTGCTTTGCAATGAGTCTGTCGAGTGCCTGGCCATGCCGTTGAGAATAACGTACTACTACCTCACGTTCCCCACCAACATTCCTGTCTTCACCAACATCTTCCGCATGGGCCCCTCTCCCACTTTGCCTGGCGACGACATCCAGATTGCTATCACTGCTGGCAACGAGGACAGTTACTTCAAGACGGAGCAGGTGCCCACCGGCGGCGTAATGTCGGTGGCGAAGCTCATCAATAAGCCACAGGACTTTGATCTGTCCCTGGAGCTGAGGCTACGCCGTAACGGCATGTTCAGCATGTACCTGGCTAAAGTGCTGGTGTTTGTTACCCAGGAGGAGCCCAGAGTACCTTACAACCCCTTACTTGAGTAGACATGAGTGTTAAACCGGGATACACCAGCTACTACACTCTTTAAAAAGATGTGTCATTTTTAAATGGATTGTCTCATGGAAAATGAACAATGGTGTATTGATAGCATAGCACAGTGATGCAGTCTAGACTGTATTGTAACATATAATTGATTACAGACATTTACTGTATGCAGTTAAATATAAAACATGATTTCCAATCAGTGATAAGTAAAAACCTCTATAATCAAACATCATTTGATTCTCTCATTCATGGATTAATTCCATTTCAATCAGACAATTATTGCAGCAGCAGAACATAGCGTTTGGCATCAAGGCTCCGACCTCATCATTCACCATATATGATGACATAGATATAATGGATAAGCAAATAGGGGGCTGAATCGACAGGCAGTGATACTGACACAGGGCTGCAGAGCCATTGAAAAGCAAAGGGAGAGATGGGAAATCTTTACATCTTAAATAGACCTTGAATTTGGGAGGGTGTGTCCGAGAGATTAAAAAAACAACATTCTCTTATGACAGCAGCTGGCTAACTTAGCTTAGCATGAAGACTGGAAACAATGAACTATATCCCCCTCCCAGCTCCTCTAGAGCTCTCTGAAGAACATATCTCATTTTATCTTTCCAAAAACCAAATGGTGAAACGAACATCTGTAATGTTCTTTGGATCTGTGGTTTGGGGTGTTTGTTTGTCTGACCATTTCTTAAATGTGTACAGTGACTTCTGTCCTCAAAGCTAATTTTTAGACAAAGAAAGT